ATGGTAATGATAATAGTAAGAATGATAATAATAATGTATATATCAGAATATACATAATGATATCTTATGAACTTTCTAACATTTTTTTTTTTCCAATTGCAACTTCTGACTGGCTAAGGAGTCTGTCCATAAGGAGTTTTTATCGTGATGAAATGTGTTGTGTGATTAACAGTGTAGTAGAGGATGTAGTAGGTTATACACTCTATATATGACACAGGAATAGCTGTAAGGCTATGTAGCTATCTCGGCGTGGGTGAAAGGCATATGATGTCAAAAGAATCCCTTGATACTATCTAGCGTAGGGGGAACCAGCCTGAATCCAAACATCATGCTGGATATGGGATACGTGAAAAGCAGCTGTCCGTGTTAGCCTCTTGATGTAACTAATGCTAGGTTGTAGAGTAGCGATGTGAGGCTGACGCAGGCTCTCCCGAGCTGCAATGTCTGCACGCTCACTCCCCTCTATTCCAACATGACTGGGGATCCACACTAACTTAACAGTCTTCCCCTCCTCATTGAGGTGCTGGAGCCTGTAGAGAGCTGTAGTAATGAGATGTATGTTGTCACTAGGAGGAAGCTTCTGGATGGCTGATAAGGAATCAGTATGTAGATAGAGTCATAAAGTAACTAAAGTGAGCGAGTAAGTGCCTGTAAGATGGAAGAATTATTGTAGATTCGTCTGGCATATGTGTAGTCATCACATACAAATGCTGATCCTGCTCTTGATGTGTGTTGCTCAGGGGATTCATCAGGGAAGATTGTAGTTACAGCAGGATCCGACACAAGAAGCTAGGCAAAGTTCCTAGCTTGCATGACAGTGTTGAGACTGCACTGCGCCTTTGGCTGGGGTAGGATATCTATGTGAAAGTGAGTTGGAGGTGGATCCCAAGGTCTGGCTTTGATTATCTGGGATGATTAACATATAAGTCTCTCTGTCTTATGGCAGGAAGGAGATTTGGTGCGTCGAGGGAGTGCAGAATGCCTCTATGCCAGGCCTGGCGCTGATGGAGAGTTATGTGGTTATGTGAATAAGGAACCCGAATGAGGCCACCCGTGAGGTGGGAGACTTCAGACTTAGGGGCCAAGGAAAATGAAGGGGTCCCGTTCGTTCCTCGAAAAGGCGGTGAGGGGACCAAGCAGAAGGCTCAGAATCCAGACGACCTCACAAGCCAACTATCTTCGGAGCTGCAGGCCTACCAGGAGCGTGACCAATACGAAGATGATACATAATGCATAAATTACAAAATCCTGAAATGCAGAAGGCACTAAAGTAAAACAAGTTAATACGTAAAAAGACAAGTGCCAGAAGGGCTTACAGTGGTTCACAGTAAAACGTAAAAAGTATAAAACACGTCCAACATAGATACACCTAGGCAAAGAAAAGAGGCAGTGCAACCTTGTTTCCGGGAATCCATGGTGTATATCCAGTAAAATAAATCGAAATGGTAGTCACAACACAGTTAGGAGTGTCCATTTCGTTTCTTTGGTAAAAGCATAGGGATTACATTGACTCACCCGAACGAAAGTGTAACACATGAATACAGTACAACAGCAAATAGGAAATGTTATAATAAAAGAAAATATACAAAAGATAAAATTAATAACATAAACAATAAAACGTTAAAAGAGGTCATTAAAAAAATAATAATTCTGATAAATAAAATAAGAGTAGAAATGAGGCTGGCAGAGGGAAGTGGTCCGGCTGTGCTCGACTCGCCCTGTGGATAGTAGTAGGATGCTAGGTAGGATAAGAATAAGATGGGAGCAGGAGAGGACAGGGTTAACGGTAGGAGGTAGGGTAAACGGGAAAAAGGAATGGAAAAGGGGGAAATCAGCGTAGAAGTAGAAGGAAGAGAAAAGGCGAAGGAACAAGAAGAGGGTGCAAATAAGAGGGGTACGAGGGGAAATTTGGCAGTTTACAGGCCAGGATAAGGATAGGGTAGAGGCAGGATACTAGTGGGATAGAGATAAAAGGTGAAACAAGCAAGGGAAGCGAGTAGAAGAGAGAGAAAATACCGTGGAAGTAGAGAGACAGGAAGAGGGTGTGATTAAGGGTACGAAATTGGGGCAAGGAAGGGGGGGGGGCCGATATGTGATGGGTATGGGGGGAGAAGCAGGTTGAAAACCTCACAACTGTCTTATGGGGGGACTGCAACTTATCTTGGGGATTTGGCAAATGGACCATTGTCATCTCGTGAGACGACCCTGCTAACAAAGCCTGCTACCATCTGATGAATTCTCGTAGCAAATGGGAGACTCCCTGTGTAGATTAGCTAGTCTAGTCCGTCTTGGTGCACCGAGAATAAGGCGCATATTCTTATTCTGTAACATCTCTAACCTGGTGAGCTGACATAAGTTAGTTGCATCAAGGCTACAGAGCTATAGTCCACAATTGACCTAATTGCATGAATATAGTAGGAGCGCAAAACATGATATCTTGCATCCATATGGAGCCCAGTTATCATCCTCATGACATTGATAAGGGACCTAGTTTTTTCAAGTAGGTAATTGAGCTGGGAGGATGAATTTTTCTGTGAACACACCTAAACATTTGTGTGAGGTGACTCACTGTATTTTGTCCTGTCTGATGTAAAGCCATTAAGTGTTTATGTAATGCTGGCAGAGGGAATTGATCCGGCTGTGCTCGACTCGCTCTGTGGATAGTAGTAGGATGCTAGGTAGGATAAGAATAGGATGGGAGCAGGAGAGGACAAGGTTAAAGGCAGGAGGTAGGGGCAAACGGGAAAAAGGAATGGAAAAGGGGAAAATCAGCGTAGAAGTAGAAGGAAGAGAAAAGGCGAAGGAACAAGAAGAGGGTGCAAATAAGAGGGGTACGAGGGGAAATTTGGCAGCATACAGGCCAGGATAAGGATAGGGTAGAGGCAGGATAGTAGTGGGATAGAGATAAAAGTCTAGTCCGTCTTGGTGCACCGAGAATAAGGCGCATATTCTTATTCTGTAACATCTCCAACCTGGTGAGCTGACATAAGTTAGTTGCATCAAGGCTACAGAACTATAGTCCACAATTGACCTATTGCATGAATATAGTAGGAGCGCAAAACATGATATCTTGCATCCATATGGAGCCCAGTTATCATCCTCATGACATTGATAAAGGACCTAGTTTTTTCAAGTAGGTAATTGAGCTGGGAGGATGAATTTTTCTGTGAACACACCTAACCATTTGTGTGAGCTGACTCACTGTATTTTGTCCTGTCTGATGTAAAGCTATTAAGTGTTTATGTAATGCTGGCAGAGGGAATTGATCCGGCTGTGCTCGACTCGCTCTGTGGATAGTAGTAGGATGCTAGGTAGGATAAGAATAGGATGGGAGCAGGAGAGGACAAGGTTAAAGGCAGGAGGTAGGGCAAACGGGAAAAAGGAATGGAAAAGGGGAAAATCAGCGTAGAAGTAGAAGGAAGAGAAAAGGCGAAGGAACAAGAAGAGGGTGCAAATAAGAGGGGTACGAGGGGAAATTTGGCAGCATACAGGCCAGGATAAGGATAGGGTAGAGGCAGGATAGTAGTGGGATAGAGATAAAAGGTGAAACAAGCAAGGGAAGCGAGTAGAAGAGAGAGAAAATACCGTGGATATAGAGAGACAGGAAGAGGGTGTGAATAAGGGTACGAGATTGGGGCAAGGAAGGGGGGGGGCGATAGGTGATGGGTATGGGGGGAGAAGGAGGTTGAAAACCTCACAACTTTGCTGATGATGTTGCCATTCTTTCTGAATCTCTGGAAACCCTAGTGGCGGCTCTTGATGCATTTAGCAATGAAGCGAAGCCCCTGGGGCTAGAGGTCTCCTGGACCAAGACCAAGATCCAGGATTTTGGGGGCCTACTAGGAGATCCTGTGCAGTCGGTACGTGCTTGCAGTGAAAACATCGAAGTCACAAGGAGTTTTATATACCTCGGTAGTGCAGTTCATGACTCTGGGCTGTCAGACCAGGATGTCAGTAGACGGATTGGCCTGGCAGCAGGGGTCATGAAATCTCTCGACAAGAGTATTTGGAGATGCCGGTACCTGTGCAGAAGGACCAAGCTACGAGTTTTCAAGGCCCTGATACTGCCAGTTTTACTATATGGTAGTGAAACTTGGACGCTATCTTGTGCCTTGGAATCTCGTCTCGATGCCTTTTGTAACAGATCCTTGTGCCGGATCATGGCGTACAGTTGGCGGGACCATGTGTCCAACCAACAGTTACACCGTGAGACCGGTACAAGACCTGTTACTTGCACAATCCGTGATCGCCAACTCAGGCTATATGGCCACTTGGCTCGATTCCCGCAGGATGATCCTGCCCATCAGGTTGTCTCTGTTCGAGACAACCCTGGGTGGAGGAGGCCTGTGGACCGACCGAGAAGGTCGTGGCTTGGGCAGATCGATCAAACCCGTCGTGAGGAACTAGAGATGAGCCGGGCCCCTGCCTGGCGGCTCGCCATGAGAGACCCTCACAGGTGGAAGCGAAGGGTGGACGCGGCTATGCGCCCCTACCGGCGTTAGCTCCCCAATGATGATGAATGATGACATTGGTCGATTCATTACAATCATTTTTTCGTCAATACAACTTCAAATTCGAAGCAATAAATTATTGTGACGGTCCATGTTAGATATATGAAGGACAAGATCAGGGAATATAGTAAAAGATAATAATTTATTTACATCATCAAAAGCCATACATTTTTATACAAGTAATACAGTGACTGAAGATAAATTCATCGCATTTTTTAAAAAGATGTCGACATCTTGACTAGATTACTTAAAACCATTTTTTTTTTCATTTCCGCATTGTCTCCAGTCTGCCTCTCGCTATTCATATATATGTATATATATATATATGTGTGTTTTTGTATATATGTATATATATGTATACATATATACACGAGTGTATATATACATCGATATATGTGTGTGTGTGTATATATATATATATATATATATATATATATATATATATATATATATCATTATCTCTTCGTACTAATTTCGCTTTCGGCCTCA